AACTGCGGTCGACTACGTGGGAGTCCAGCGACATAGCCATTATGCTAACTGCTGGTTCCCAATAAATAATTTTTTTTAAAAAAAAGTTTGTTTCTCTACTACTGAAGAGGATGAAAGACACGCCAAAGAGGAGGCACCCTTTGACCCCTTACCTACCCACTTCTGTTGTTGGATTGGGGGGGCACATATCTACCAGATATTGTACTGAACCCGTGCATTTTTTACCTCCTGGGTAAAGAACTATGTGCGTAGATACGTGTCGTCAGCTGTTTAATTTCTCGTTGGAGTGGGGTGGAACATTGACGATGCCACCACCCCAATGATGGGCTGTCTTCCAACCCTGACCTTCTGCAATGACATCCTACAGGGAAGGGTATCTCCCCTTCAACTTTGCTGTGGGGGTTGGGGGTGCAGAGACGCCTCCTCGTTTTCCTTCTCCTCCTAAGAGAGGCTCCTAGACCTCCCTGACATACGGGTGCTGTATTGTTGAAGTGGAAGCCCAGAGGGGTGAAACGGAAGGTAGCTTCCAAGAGAAGGGGTGCTGGCGTCTCAAGCCTTTCTCTCTCCTTTCTGGCCTAGGTGCTTCAGCGAGGAATCCTGCGTCTCCATCCCCGAAGTGGAGGGCTACGTGGTGGTTCTTCAGCCCGACGCCCCCCAGATCCTGCTGAGCGGCACTGCTCATTTCGCACGCCCAGCTGTGGACTTTGAGGGACCTGAGGGGGTCCCCTTGTTCCCCGATCTTCAGATCACTTGCTCCATTTCTCACCAGGTGGAGGCCAAAAAGGATGAGAGTTGGCAGGGAACAGGTAAGGGTGACCGCAGCGGGAGACACCACCCACAGAAGGGGCCTGTGTCTGGGCTCAGAAGGAGGGAGAAACGGGGGCTGGAAACTGGTGCCACTTTGCCCTTTGCTTGACTAGAAAGACCTCCCCTTAAGAAGCAGAGCAAGTGGGGCACCTTGGGTGCAAGGAAATGGTTGCATAGTGGTGTTCTGGAAAAGGAGGCTGGCTTCCCTGAAGGAAGGGCCCTAGAAGGGCAGGAGGAGGGCCGCGAGGTGACAGCTGGGATGCAGGAGCTCACTGAGTGCTGCTCTGACCTGGGCCCTGACTCTTTCC